TGCATAACATCTGTAAATTCAAATCAGTCAGGTAAATATAGAAAAAATACATCTATAGTATAACATCTGGAGGTGACACTTTGTTCAGGTAAATGAAATGAAGCCATTCTTTGGTTAAAAAAAAGACAGCTTTTAGATGGGCTTCATAGACGTTGAATATTCAGATAAACTGAACAGTCAATAAAAACTAATTGTTAAAAGAGTAAATTGTGAGACATTCAATGTTGTTCAATCAAACTGGTCAATATTCAAAGACTTGAAAGTTCCTGTAGGAACTATGACGGGGACCGCCACACTGCTGCTAAACTAAATTGTTGATTTGGCTGTACTACTGTATGTGTTGGGGTTCGCGCTCAGCTACCTCTATACCAAATTTCAGCTCAGTATGCCAAAAACTTAATAAGTCAGTCATTTTTTCCATCGCTAAGGTGGCCATCTTGGATTTTGATCTGGATTCAGTATATGATGGGGAACATTCTCAGCTATAACCTCACCAAATTTCAGCACTACGTGTGTAAAAATAGCAGAGTTAAAGCCGTTTAAATGTAGCTTTGGTGGCCATCTTGAATTTTTACATTTGAATTCATTATTTAATGGGCATTGCTCTCAGGAACCAACACAGCAAATTTCAGCTGAATAGCTCTAAAAACAGATGAGTTATCATTTTTTTTTTTCCCTTTTAGCTACAGCAGCCATCTTGGATATCTAATTTGCATCAGGAACATATAACAACTCGCTCTCAGCAATGACCAGAGTAAATTTCAGCTCAAATTCTCAAAGAATGACTGAGTTATTGTCAATGTTGTGTTTGCTGAGGTAGCTGTGGCAGCCATCTTGACTCAAAATGGCTCCAAACAATCAGAATACATCTGAGGTTGTTTTGATACAACATTTCTGGGAGTACTCATTGTGATTCAGACCGCATTAAAGTTGACAGAAGACTAAGATATAAAGTTAAGAAACCTGTTTCTAGGTGCATAATAATAAAGGTGCTGCCTTTACTAGGCAGTCTCCAATAAAGAAATGTTAACTCGTTAACAAAGAATATTTGATAGAAACTAGGTAGATGATATTTGAAGATAGTAATCTTGTTATGATTTTCTTGGAACAAACTTCAGTTCTATGTCATATAAGCTTCGCCCTTTAAGGCCTTCGCTTTAGTGGGTTTATCCCGTTATGCAGAGCATAAGCACTGAAAAAAATTAGTCCACGCCCACCTGCTGTGTGGGCCCTACCCGGTCCGTATAAATTACGTTAAGAGCGGGAAATCGGCTCCCATTTTTTCTTCAGCGAGCTAATATAGCACTGTCAGAAGAACAAAGAAGATAAATTGTGTAAATGACCAACCTTTGCGAAAGATGCTTGGCCCGGCAGTCGACCTCCGGTCGTCCGGTGAGTTCTCCTCCCCGAGGAGAAGATGACAGCAGTCTTATTCCAAGGTAAGCGTCGTGGAACATTTCCCAGTGACAGGTCACTACACGCTGGACAACGCCATCTTGTGTTTTTTCCTCTTATCGCCGACCCTCGGGGCGAACCGGATGGTTCCTCCGGGGCAAGGTGTGCTCAGCTGCAGCCCCCGCTGCTCATTCCCTCCCGGGGAGCGTAGTGTAGGTGGAGGGGGGCTGAGTGAATGCTCACCCCATCCCACCTCGTTTTCGCATCGGCGATCACACCGCTCCCGGCCGACAGCGCCCTCAGGGGTTGCCCGGCGGAACCCGGGAGGAGGCTGACATGAAGGGACCCCCTTTTTCTACGTCCCTCGCCTTTTCCCGCCAGTTCGGATGATCGGCGGAAAGGTTATTTTTCACTGACGTGTTTTTCCAGGCAGCCGCAGTTAGCAACAACGTGCGCTGCTAGCATATAGCATGTCCAAGGGACTGAAGGCCGCAGACCTGCCTTGGAGACAAAGAACTCCTTCTGTAAGGCAACTGACGCTATTCCTCGGTTCCCTCCCCTGGAGCCAAGCCTCGCGGAAGCTTCCGGAGCGAAGCTGTCCAGGTCGGAGCAGCGTCCCGTCCCTCCGGAGGAACCAGACGGCGACCAAAGCTCTCCAATCGAGCCCACCGACGTGTTTTCAGGCAACCGCAGTTAGCAACAACATGCGCTGCTAGCATTTAGCATGTCGAAAAGGCTGAGACCTCAGACCTGCCGGAGGAGACTAAGAGCTCCCTGTGTAGATCGGCAGACGCCATCCTCAACATGTGCGCCGCTCCCTCGGGTTGCCTGTCGAGGATTGTAGCATGGATGACGGTAATCCAACGTTCCATCTGGCTCCGTCACTCTCCATTGCTGCCGGAAAAGCTGCACAAAGACCGGATGGAGGGCCCCATCTCATCGGACGCGCTGTTCGGAAGCAGCTTGACGTCCATGCTGACGAATTCGAAGCAGTCGGAGGAGACGTCGGAAGCTGTACGCCATCTCATCTAGCCGCGCGGCTCATTCCGTCCTCCAGCCCGCTGGAGAGATCGTCAAAAGCAGAGGCAGAGACATCGACGCTCCACGGCAGCAGCAGCTTCGTCTCGCCCAGCTCCACCACCCGCCCCGCCCGCCAGAGACCACCCCTCCTCAGTCCGGCAGCCTGCACTTCAGCGTTTTCCCCAGAGATCGCCTGCAGACGGCGCTCGGAGCAAACAAACCGCAGAGCTCACGGGGGAGAAGTTTTAAGAAATGACGGTCTGCGGAGGATGTGTGTATAAATGACACAGGAATTGAATAAATGATTTTTCAAAGATCAAAACGCCTGTTTTTAGCCAGTCTGTAAGCTCGGATGAGCTCACAGCCGCTACACACCCTCCACTCATAAAGAGCCGGTGTCCTTAAATAAAGGTTTTTTAAATCCACCGCCGCTCCCTCACATGCCCAGACGCTCACGTGACACCACGGTAAGCGAAATAACTTGTTGTCAATCAGGCCCGCACGATCACCTCCCAACGGTGTTTACGCGCTCCCGAGCGAGACAAGCAGCCTCCATCCAACGGCACTGTGTCGATGATGCACGCACAGCTGCCCGGCGCTCACCGGCCCACATCGGGATAAATGTGGGACCGCAGGCCGGGTCCGGTGGAGGTCCCTGCTCTCAGCGAAAACAACACACGCCTCTCCTGTATGAACGCGAGTGGCCGTCATCCACCGCGTCCCAGCGATCAGCAGCTCACGGCGGCATAAGCGTGAGACAGCTGAATGAATCCAATGACGGGCCCCGCCCTCAGCGAGAGCGGCGCGCGTCCCTCCAGAGGAAACGTGCGCTCCCGCGAGGCTCACAACCTTCACTTCATCAGCTGACACACGCCTCGCCTCAGCACACACCGCCCCGCCCGGACATGAAGGTTGGTCCGCGATCCAGTCACAGCGCGCGGGCGCGCGCAGAACAGCCCTTTCGAGAAAGCCTCGCCTTGGGTCACGCGGAAAACATTTCCGCGACGCATGACGGCGGTCGAGGCGGAGGTTTGGATGACATCCGTTCAAAACACGGCACATCATTTAAACGCACGTCCACTCCACGAACGTCACGCAGAGTGGTTAAAAACATGCTCACCGGACAGATGGAGGGACAGAGTGTTATGCAAGGGTTACACGCTGCAGTTTGCAACCCGACCCCCTCCGTTCGGAGGAGTTATAGAGACGGTCCTGTCATCACCAGACCAAGTCTCAGCCTTAAATGCAGAAATCCAAGAGCTTCTGATAAAAGGTGTAATCTCAAGAGTTCCCAACGAGGAGGAAAACACAGGGTTTTACTCAAGCTACTTCCTGGTCCCCGAAAGGACCGGAGGGATGAGACCGATTCTGGATCTGTCAGCTTTCATCAAAGCGATCATGAACAGATTTTTTCACATGTTGATGAACAGACAGCTGTTGGACAACATCCAGGAAAACGACTGGTTTGTCTCCATCGTTTTAAAAGATGCCTATTTTCACACACCAATCATCCCAAAACACAGAAAATTTCTGCGTTTCGCCTTTCAAGGGATGAAGTACCAGTACAACAGGTTGCCTTTTTTGGGTACTCCCTCGCGCCTCGTACGTTCTCAAGTGTGTGGAGACAGCCCTGCATCCACTGCACAAGCAGGGATGAGGGTTTTGTTTTTACCTGGACGACCTGCTGCCCCTGTCTCACTCCAGACAGGAAGCATTGATACAGGCTCAGGTGTTAGCATCACACCTGCTAAATCTGGTTTTCGCCATACTGGAAGAAAAGCTCGATTTTCCCGGCCCAGATAATTGTTATCTGGGAGTGGAATTAAACTCAATTACCATGACGGCTCGTTTATCACAAACAAGAATCGACACTCTAAAAACCAATTACGCCACGTAAGACCTGGCAAAGTGGTAACAGCTGTCTCCGTCATGAAGCTGTTGGGAATGACGTCATCAGCTCACACAGTGGTCCCGCTGGGTTTGTTACACATGAGGCGCCTCCAGAGGTGGTTTACGCGTCTGCGTGTGGATCCAGTAAAACAAAAGAGACGGATGATCACTGTCCCTCCCTCCATGGGAGCAGACCTCCGACACTGGGGAAACACCCTGGCTCTGTCAGAGGGAGTCCCCGTCAGCAGATCCACGTCACGTGTCAGTCTTCACGGACGCGTCTCTGTCAGGTTGGGGTGGGGAACATGCCTATCTCAAGCAGTAGGGGCGCTGTGGCCCCACCGCACATCAGCCCACATCAATGTTTTGGAGTGTCGCACAGTGCTGAATGTGATTCAACTTTTTGCTCCCGTGCTACAGAATCAACACGTGTTGATTCACACAGACAACATGGTGACTGCTGCGTACATAAACCGCCAGGGGGGTGTGCGTTCAGCCCAGATGTTACACATTGCGCGGAAGCTACTGAGTTGGGTTCATCAAACCTGCTTTTATTAGAGCAGTTTACATATCCGATGTTCTGAACAGAGGGGCTGATGTGACGTCCAAGGGCGGCCCACGTTATGTGGACCGGATCCTCCATCCGGATCTGATGTTTTTCAGACGCAGCAGAAGTTGGCAAAGCAGCTGTGGACCTGTTTGCGATGCGAGAAGAACGCTCAATGTCAACTACGGTTTTCCCTGAGCCCGCGAGACGATCCATCGCTGGGGGGGGACGCATTTGCTCACAGTCGGTGGCCCAAAACGCTTTTTACGCGTTTCTTTCCCCCCCACCTCCTCTGTTTTTTACGGTCCATGAACCGAGTTCAAGAGGAGGGATTGACAGCCCTCCTTGGTGGCTCCCGGCGTGTGAACGCACTATGGTTCCCAGGCCTGCAACGTCTGTTGTTGGGTCGCCGTGGAACTGTCATGGAGGAAGGATGCTCTCCTTCAGGCAGGAGGAGCGACCAAGAGTTACCCAGAAATAGGTCAACACCGGTGGGTCTGACCGCTGAGCGGTTCCACTTAGAGGATGGGTCTCCCTCAGGAGATAGTGTGCACAATTCAAGATTCACGTGCTGCATCTACCACAGTTCTGTACACATCAAGGGGACGGCTTTTCAGCGCTGGTGCACAGAGAAGGTTTAGAGACCACCTCATGCCTTTTAAGCGGCGTGTTGTTTTTCTACAACAGCTGATGGATAGGGAGTTGGCTTTCAGTACGCTTTAACGTACGATTGCAGCCATCTCTTCCTGCCACAAAGGGTTTGGAGTCAGAACAGCTTTTATCACCCGCTGATGAAGCGGTTTCTAAAAGGTGTACAGAGATGTAGGCCTGTTTTCACGCCCACTTGTTTTCCACAGTGGGTTTAACGCTGGTCCTGCGAGCCCTGATCAAAGCTTCAATTGAGCCTCTGGATCAGGTTTCATTTAAATTCTTGTCTCTTTTAACAGCCCTGTTGCTGGTTTTAACACCCGCTAAGAGGGTAAGTAATTATCTGCCCTCTCTGTTGCTTCGTCATGCCTTAGAATTAGGCTGACGGGCAGCTCAGCTGATTTAAGACCAACCCAGCTTTTATGCCTAAAACATCACGAGCTCTTTTAAATCAAGAGTGATATCGTTGGAGGGGTTTTTTCCCCCCCCACAGATCAGAAGAGGAAGCATCTTTTCATCTTCTCTGCCCGGTGCGGGCGTTTGACGTGTTACATAACGCACACAGCTGCAATGCGTTTCAAACTCAACAATGGTTTGTGCATTATAGAGATGTTTCTACAGGTCGCCGTTATCCATCCAGCGCTTATCACACTGGCTGTGTGAGGCCTTTTCTGAAGCCTACAGAGCATCAGATTTAGAGCCTCCTGTCAACCTCTAAGCACACTCGACCAGGGGTATCGCATCTTCGACTGCTCTGCATAATGGTTTGTCAATGCAGGACATTTGCACTGCGGTTGCATGGTCAACACCCTGCTCATTTATTCGCTTTTACCTACGTGATGTAACGGCTCGTTCCATGACACATTCTGTCCTTAGTGCTCTAACAGAATGAATATTGTTGTTCTCATGGAACTCTGTTTAAGCTCACTTCTGTCTGCATGCATTACAGTGTGAGATGTTGTTATCAGTCACAAGTCGTGTCTGTGATTTTGGTTATATTGTCACTAATCAGTTCATGATTATTGTTACCAATCAGTTCAATTGATTTATAATCAATTTATGGACATTAATCTGTTTATACTGTTCAGCCATGAACCAGTTGGTTCATGCCCCCCTCTTTTCAACTTCTTCTTCCCGTTGAAAGTTTTCCGGGGTATTCATGCTTTGTCAGAACGCATAGCTACACAACATGCGTCTGTGCATGGCACATAATTACGCGATGCGTAGTTATGCACATGGGGAGCTGAGTGACAAGACGTTTTTTGGGCAAGCTTCCGCTTCTTACTGTGTTCGAATGGACCCAGTGAGGCGAGGACCACATCGGCTTCGCCCTTTACCCACTAAAGCGAAGGCCTTAAAGGGCGAAGCTTATATGACATAGAACGTTGGTTACGTACTGTAACCCCAGATTCTATGAATATAAGCGTAGCCCTTTAAGCGTCGGGCCTCACTGGCTCCTAAATGGCTGAAGAAAAAAGCTATTTTGGGAGCCGATTTCCCGCTCTTAACGTAATTTATACGGACCGGGTAGGGCCCACACAGCAGGTGGGCGTGGACTAATTTTTTTCAGTGCTTATGCTCTGCATAACGGGATAAACCCACTAAAGCGAAGGCCTTAAAGGGCTACGCTTATATTCATAGAATCTGGGGTTACAGTACGTAACCAACGTTTTATGGGCTTGGTGGGTTGAAATATCCAGTTAAACTCCAGTGGAATCTGAAGATGAGAAAAAAACAGAAATTAATCAGTGACGTGGCAGTTGAGCCGAGTTCAGCGGGGTGACTTCGTCTTACCGAAGTGTCTTTGCAGGTTTCCAAGGTGTAACTCTGCAGGAGGCGCACGATGACCATCTTCATGACGAGCATCGCGTAGCGCATCCCAACGCAGTTACGAGGGCCGAGGCCAAACGGCATGTAGGCGTACGGGTTCAGGTCTGCCTCGTTCTCCTTACTGAACCTGCACAGACCAGATTAAGGTGTCAAACTGAGACGTTCCGACAAGGACATAAAATGAGTCATCCTCAAACAGAAACTGTGAAAATGCAGCATCGATCTCGTGTTCTATGTCAATTTACCTCTCTGGTCTGAAAAGCTCAGGCGAGCTCCAAAACCGCGGGTCCTTGTGTAACAAATGCACCGGAACCCCAACTAATGTTCCCTCGGGGATGGTGATCCCATTTATCTGCACGGTCTTTTTGCAAACCCTATCAAGCCGGGGTGCGGTGGAAATCAAACGCATCGACTCGTAAATAACCTGGTCCAGGTACTGCAGATTATACAGGTCGGTGTACGAAATGGGAGTCTGGATGAGAGATTAAAAAGTGGGAGGACAAAGAAGAGAAAAAGTAAAGGATTCTAAGTAATGTGTTGAATCATAAATAATAATTTAAGAACAGTTATTGTACATCTTCATGCAGGTTAGCATCGATCTCTTCCTGTAAGGTCTGCATCACATCAGGGTTCGTGGCCAGATTGTAGAAAATGAAAGACAGAGTTGTACTGGTCGTCTCGTAGCCAGCAAAGATGAACATCAAGGCCTGAGAAAGGATCTCATGTTCAGTCAAACCTACAACACAAGCATCACAAAAACACATCACACTCACGTCAAGGTCTCACTGAAAAGATAACTGGTTAAGCAGTGTTGATTTAGTCAACATGATTCAAGGAGGTGGTGAAATTAAAAGTGTTTGATTTAACCAAATGTGCATTTTACTTTGGTCTATTATTAAAAACTGGGAAACAGCTGCTTGAGAAATAACTAACAATGAAAAAGTTTAAAAACACAATAAAGTAGTCCCTCACTACTTCGCGGTTCGTTTTTGCGGACTCTATCGTGGTTTTTCAAAATAAGACTGGACATGACACACAATTAGCTGATTGATGGATGAGCTGCAAGATCGGCATGAAATTTTTATTTAAAATGAATTATTTTAAATTATTTAGCACCTGCTGCACCTGTGTGCAGCCCACAGCTGCAGAAAAAGCTCCCTCCTGCAGCATGTCAGATCTCCACTCTGCAGTGGAAAAGTGGGCGTGGCCAAGAGCGCCAGCAGAGTGCAACCAGAGGCAGAGAGCTGAGATCATAACACGCTGTGCTCTTTTATAGCGTTTAGAGTTTGGAAAATTGTTAGGGACATTGCAAGAGTGTAGAAAGGGTTTTAAATGCCTTAATATATACCTGTATATAAATACAAAAAATAAAAATAAAAATACTACTTACTACTACAGTAATTACTAAAATAAACTAGTACTTACTACTACTACTTCTGCACATAATTGCGTTCCATCTCATGTACCACATGAGATGACAATAAAGTTTACTTGCGCCGCTCAAGGTGGCTGCATGTTGGAGCAGCTCTGTTACTTTCATTCCAAGATTTTGCTTTTGGAAACTTTAATTCCTGGTTTTCTGGATGTAAATCACATTTTTTGGATGATTGTTTCCTCTGGTATCGGATGCTGTGCAGCTGGAAGGATTTTTACTGAAACTTTTTTAGTTTCACACATTTGCTATGACGCGTAACCATGGCAACAAGGCAGTTTTCTACAACCAACAACAGCTGATTAACATCTCAAAAGCTCAAATAATATCTCAGCTACAGCCCCAAATCTCAAATGAGTTGAAAAGGATGTTCTGTGGATGCATTCTCATCTACCTGCTGGCTATGCTCGAGTGCCTGACCACTGAGATCCTGGAACTAGCAGGAAACATGGGTCATGACAGCGGAAGGATGGGATCATCCCTCGGCACCTACAGTATGTGGCTGAAAACTAAAGGGGACGGGGCCTTTCAGTCAGTGGCCCCCCAGGCTGTGGAACAGTTTGCCCCTGCAACTTCGTTTTGCTGACTCTGTTGAGTGACGAGGAGCTCGGCAGACTGCTGGGAGGATTGGCCATCACTCTGGGAGTAGTTCTGCCCAGCATCCTGGCGGTCCTACGGCCCGGGGGAACCGAGAGGCCAGCCGAGTCCGGGTGGACGGATCGGACGGCATCTGCAGCCAGTTTCTTAGGATCCACTGTGGGATGGACCTTTACAAGAAATCCTTCCTGTCTACAGCCATCAGCATCTAACACATCTCTTAATGAAATGAGGATAAAGAGCTACAACAACAAATAATTTTCCTTTGGGATTAATAAATTATTTTTGAATTGAATTAAATTGAACTTAGACTACTGTATCCCTACTTCGCGGTTTTTCACTGATCGCGGGTGGGGGGGGCATGGTTCCAAAGCCCCGTGACAAACGAGGGACTACTTTACTCAGCTATTTTTTAAGTGTTAATAATAATTAAATACTGGCCAAAATGTCTTGTTATATGTAATATATATATAAATGTATACCTAATTGTAATTTCTAATCTTGTGTTAGAGTAAAGCAGAAAAACCAGTGAACATCTTCACTGGACTGTATCAGTTCCTTCCGTTTAGGAGGTTTCATTTATTCTCTGTAGGACTGAGTTTTGTCTCAGGCATGAAATTTTACTTCAACTTTGTCCCAGCTGATTGCTTATTTCAGATAAACTAATTCTTACTGAAACACTTTTACAACAGTGAATAAACATTTCTTCACACATTGTTGTGCCATTTGTGCTCCTGGTGGGAAAACGGTGACTGTATGGGATGTTAAAAAGCAGAGAGGCAGCTGGATGTTTCTGGTGCAAACAGTCGGTCTGCTCAAGAGACTAAAACTGAGTGAAATACTTTTTTTTTTTCCTACATCTTGATGTGAAAATGATGTTTGTAGAGATAAAACTACAAGCGCAGTGGCACAATAAAAATTAAATAAAATTCAGGGTTCAGTAAACATCGAGATGTTTTCCAGTCTTTTGTTTAACTTTGTGATGCTGGTATTAAAATATATTTTAGAAAGACAATTTGTTTTAAACACAGTTCATACATTGTCTTTGCAGCAAGGATCCAGTTTCAGTGACATCCTTATATTTGCATCTATTTACCGTATTTTTCGGACTATAAGGTGCACTTAAAATCCTTTAATTTTCTCAAAAATCGTCAGTGAGCCTTATAATCTGGTGCGCCTTATGTATTAATTCTGTTTGTGCTTGCTGACTTCGAACTGATTTTATGTGGTACACGGCGCTCAAAATCTGTCTGAATGAACTTGTTTTGTTTAATACGCCTTATAATCCGGTGCACCTTATTGTCCAAAAAATACGATACCTTTTAAAACGTTGCCTTAACCGGTTATCTCTGGAGCTCCATGTTGCAAACATACTCAAAACTGTTCTCTCTGTTCTGAACATTACCATCAATATTGGAGCACATAATGTTGCTGTTGTTCTTTCGGCTGCGCCCCTTCGGCAGGCGTTGCCACAGCGAGCAAAATCTCCAAAGATTTTGGCAATTGTTTTGTGTCAAATGCCCTTCCTGGTGCAACATGGGCTCGAACATGCGGCCACAGGATTAAGAGACCGTGGCTAGGCCTGTCGCGATAAACAATAAATCAATTAATCGCATGATAAATGAAAATTATCAACCTCATTTTCATTTATCAGCTTTATTGTTTCTTCGTGTGTCTCTCTCTTTCTACTGAAGACACTGGATGACAAAAGGCTCAACTCCGGTGCTCTTCACTGACCCCTCCCTTTCTCTTTAAAATCTGTTTTAACCATTCAAAATCGTGTTTTTGGATCGTTAAAAGCAGCTAATCTGAGAAGCTAAACTACGAGTTAAGCTAACAGGCCGACCTTGGGGAAAAAACCTCCGTCTTGTCGAAGCTCCAAAATTCATGGTTGAAACCTGTGCCTTCGTGTAAAAAGTTGGTTTTCTCTACAAAAAGAAGCTGAGAACTTGTTTACTGTTTTTTTGTTTTTGTTTTTTTTTTTATTAAAATCTTTGTGTAAAAAATGCTATGCTAAAGAGCTCAAACCACATTGAGCGTCTGGCATTTTGAGAAGCGAAAACAAGGAAGGAGAGACAGCCCATGTCATGTCAAGGGGTCTCCCTCCCATTTTTCTTACAGAGACACGCTACTCGCTCCCTCACTATCTATCCTTCGGTTCAAACAGTCTTATACTGACATCCGGTGGTCGAAAAAAGGAACTACACTCTAAAATCAACATTTTTTCTTAAATGTGACAATAATTAGTAATTATTGTCAAATTTCAAACAATTTTATTGTTTATCTAAATAATTTCTGAGACAATTAATCGCCCAGCAGAATTGGTTATTGTGACAAGCCTAATCGTGGCACTGACCACTGAGATACTGCAGCCGGAGCAAATAACCTGAAATTGTTCAACTACTGTGTACCCAGCACATATTTTACACTTTTGCACTCAGGTGAACCTGAACCTTTGCAATAGGGTGGCCAGAAGAGGGTCTCTGACAATCCATTTGTAGTTTGCTTATTGTTTTACAATGAAGTAAACCTCGTACATTTTACAAAAAAGAAATAAAAGAAAATGAACTGAAAAGAGTTTACTTGCCAACAGATCAGAGACAGGAGATATGCGTTACCTCGGTTGTCTTGATACCTTCTGTGCTGACTAGGGCTTTAACAGACTACTCGAGTAATCGACAGGTCGATTCCTAGGACATCTATCGAGTTTTTAAATTTCCCGTTGAGTATTCGCAGTGACGTCATTGTGTCACGTGATCCGCACCGGGCTACTGGTAGAAGCTACCAAATGGATTCCTCCCAGCAGATGGACAGGTCCAATCTTGGCAAACAGGTAGAAATAAATCAATAGTCTGGAAATATTTCACTAAAGATGAATCTTCTGGTTCAACTACCGTAAGGAAACAGAAAATGAAGCAACTTCCTGACTGTTTGGAGCTCTTTGCGAACCAGTGTTATACCATATTCTGTGACCACCGTATATTGTGACCGTAGGGGGCGGTGTTGCATGCACTGTTGCAGGTCACAGAATATGGTGCAACACCGGGTCCAATGACCGAACCAGAACCAGCTTCTTCTGACTTCGTTTTACAAACAAAAAGCAAAAAATATTAATCTCTAAACCTATTAAAAAACCTATAAACATATTAATCTTTAAATTAAACCTAATGCGCACCACAGCTGCCAGTGGTGCGGTGTGGTCGTCCACCTCACTGTTTTTAGTTTCGTTTTTTACGTGCTGCACGTTATTTCTTTCACTTTTGCAGCTTAATAATAATAATAATAATAATAATAAGTAATAGTTTTGGTTTTCCTGTGACTTATTTGCAGTATGATAAATGGTAGGAGCATAATATACTCTCCCAATGTTTTGTTGGTCTTTTTTTGTTTTGTAAATAATAAATTGTGTTTTTTTTGCGGTTTTATTTTTTATCTATTTTTTCATCTCGAGCTCCTATGACGTCATCAACTACTCGAGTTCTACTCGAGTTTTATTATGTTAATGTCGAGTTTAAAAATTATTGTAGTCGTTCAACCCCTAGTGCTGACAGCATACCTTTAGTTGGTTGCTCCTCTTCGTTTTTTATGTCCGCGTCTGGGATCTCGCTTTGAATCATCACCTGCAGGAAGTCTCCTCGAGTCTGGATGAGCACAGACAACCATCAGCTTTTACCTATAATTCTTATCCACATATGATATTTGAATAAGCCAGGACGGCACAACATTAGCTGGTAAATGATTGTAAAATGAATGTTTTTTTTTTTTTTTCAGATTACAGGATGTGGAAGTCTTCTTTTGCTAAAAGTGAGCTGGGCTTATGGCTGGAATTACTTTAAATCAGAAACTGAAAGTTAAATATGAACAAATCCATGCTTACAGATTCATCTGTTTGATGTTGGTCTTTAAATTTCTTGATGATGTTGTAGAAAAAGTCCACACTGGGTCTCGATAGCATTTCAATTTTGAAGAGCTTCAGCAGATAACGACCTAAGGGAAACACCACTAAAAGAAAAAAACAAACAAACAAAAAAACAACAACACCATAATAGAGTTGTTAAAACTAAATCGCATGCTCTTACTAATGAACTCATCTTGAACAAGAACAAGCAGCGCATACTCAGTAACAAAAAAAGTCGAAAGTTGATTTTCATTATCTTCTGCATGTGAGTGTTAACGGGATCATCAGGATTGTTTATCGAGTCGATTTCCACACTGAAGGAAGCACTGGTCACCACATCCAAACTGAACGGTGCCACAAATCTGAAAAAAAAAAAAAAAAGTAATAGCCACCATGTCTATTTGTTTAAGAAAAAAACATTGCATTAATTTACAGTAATACATCAATAACATACTTTTTAACCTCTACGGGCTCATTCAAATTCATTTCCCCGAGTTTTGCCACAAGTCGGTCTGCGAAGCGAGCAATGAAGGGAAAAACCTTCAAGAAAAGAGGAAAACAAACTGTGATGCAGGCAGCGTGTTGTCTGTTCTCTGCAATTTAAAGCACTTGGAGACACAGGGGTGGGTAGAATATATCTGGATCAAAACAACATTCTGTTCTTCCTGTACCAGGGTTAAATCTCACACCAACTTATAGTTCTGATCTAAATCTGATGGAATATCTGTGTAAAAGGGGCAGTAACAAAACACAAAATGGAAATACTGTATTTTTTGCTGTATAAGTCACACCTTTTTGCATAAATTTGCAAGTCCTGCGACTTATACACCAAAGCAACTAATATCTGTTTTTTCCCCATATTTATAACCCAATTTTTGTCTGAGATCTGACGATTTCATTCACTCGGACGTGGAAAATATTGAACACTACCATTTTCAGCCACTAGAGGGCCCTCGACTAACATGGCAAGCCAAGTGTCTCATTAATAGGTAAAAGTGGCTATTAATGAGACACTTGGCTTGCCATACCAAGCCACCTTCGTCTCACTCCGGAACTTCTGGAGCAAACGTCAAATCAGCTGCATTTTGTCGTGCCGCCCAGGTGAAATGCAGCTGATTTGACCATTAAAGTGCATTTATTAAGGAAAAGTTCAACCGAGACACACCATTACTATAATGTTGAGCAAACAAACAATTGTTTTTAGGCGTTAATCTTATTAAATTCTTGTTAAAGTTCTCCCTCTGCGCTCCTGCAGCCGCCGTTTGGCAGTGTAGTGAGTCACGTGAGGTACGTGTCACTTGTTGTATGACAAATATATGTGTATATATTTATGCATACTTTTCACGAGTTCTTCATTTTTCTGACTGTAATGTCGTGCATTGAATTTAACAGAAATGTAACGAGAGACGTTGTTTATCTTTGACCCATCAAATGAATGGAATCATTTATTTTCAGAATCAAAGTTTAACATCAAACATTTACATTAATTTGGCAAAATATGAAAATAATAACAGACAGTTTCACAGAAAATGAACTTCAAATCACTCGGCGGTGATTTGAGGACTTTGCTTCAGACATTTCTAAAAATATCTGTACTGATTTATGAGAGAGAAGAGTTTAAGATTAAATTGAGATTTATCTTACAGAGGAAATATGTGAGGGAATTTAATCTGTTTGACCAGAAGTTGCACGCTCCGTCCGATCTCAGCTTCTCACGGTACACTTGGTCAAAATAGAACCATCTACCTGTTGATGATGAATCAGCCTTGGAGTAGTTCCTTTCTGACTCGTTTCAGCGTCTCCGTCGAGAGCTACCAAACCTTCAGAGAGTCGTGCGCGGTTAGCTCAAAACAGAATTATAATCCCCAAAAAACCTCTGGATTCTTCATTGCTCTGAAGCTTTCAGAACCGACTGCACTCTCAATCTTGGAACTCTCACGTTCTCCAGAACTCTCAATCTAACATGAACTGGGGAGTTGCCACATTTTATTTGGGTCGACTTCCTGTTCAATTTAGAGCTTTCTGATTCGTGGAAGGACCAGAAAGAGGAGTGGTTTTGACGTAAGGTGTTTATCAACAGTCGAGGTCAGAGAATGAAACTTGTTTAACATACAGAAAAGATTATTGCAGAAGCAGCAGACTTTTTGGAGTCTACTCTTGGTAATCTTCTGAAAAAGTTTAAACATGACATTTCTTCTTCAGTAAACATTTAGCTGACCGAAGCCTCAACTTTCACACACTTACGACTTGCTCATTTCAGACAGAAAATCAAGAAAGGCATATTCAGGTGATTTCTTTTTGGAATGAGGAATAAAAATCATTACTTACTGTTTATGTAAAATAAAGATGAGTAGTTCTTTTCAACCTATAAGCATTGAGTGAAACTACCACAATTGATTATTAAAACATTTGTAAAACAGTAATGATTATAGAGGATTGTCTTTTCTGCTTGATTAATTCAAGAAAGAAAGACATCAGATGGCCCAGACTTATTCAGATCAATGAAAATAACAGTCTCTGTCCATCTGGTAGATTTGAGGTCATCTGGTTCACTACAGCAGCAAATTGATTTTTGGCACAACACCAGCCCACGTTTGCGGGTGGTCAGCGGTGACACATAATATATGCGACTTATATGGCAAAGTGTCTTATTTATGTTTTTTCCACTTTATTAGACATTTTTGGACTAATGTGACTTACGCGCGGTGCAACATGTACAGTAAATAGTGTAAAATGAGCTTGAGTGTTAAGACTGTGGAGTCCTTACAAGTGATTCATGACCAGACATGAGATATCTACCTGTTTCAGTCTCCCACTGGTGAAGCAGGGAGAGATTGTGCTGCGAATTCGTTTCCACCGTTCATCTTTAACGACTGTAATTGCATCCTCCAAAGGTCCGCCCGTCGCTCCAATAAAGTCCTGCAAACAACAGACAACATGTTTAGATTCTGCAGAGTGCTCCGAAAATTCATTGCAGTCACTGTGCAAGAGGCAGGGGACACCCTGGACAGGTCTCCAGTCCATCACAGGGACACATAGAGACAAACAACCAACTCTGACCAGTTCACCAGTTGCTGCTCATTTCTGACGGACGTGCCGTCCTACCTGTGCCGCACCCTCATTCCACCTACACGGAGAGGGCGCAGATACCGCAGGAACCGCAGCGGCCGGCTGGTCAGACTGAAAGCCTGTTTGGCGTTGGCCGCTCTCTCTCATGGGTTTGGAGCTGCATCTAATAAGTTTCATCCTGTGGCGCTCCTTGGATCCTATCAGCTCCTCTCAGGTTCCTGCTGTCGGCTTGGATAAGGGAAGTTCTGCACTGCGGTAAAGTCCAAGATTGCATCAGTCACCGTTTTCTGCTGTATTCCTTCATCATGCTCAGGTTTTGTTTCGATTG